TCGTTACTTTAATAAGACTTTATTATGATGAGATGATCTTCAAAAATTAGCCAATCATGATAAAGCCCGCTATGCTGATTTGTGCTGTATACATATGTGCAATTATATTATTAGTTATAGGATTTTTACAAAATCCAGAATAGAAAGCTTCTGTGTTAGCTTGATTATCTGTTTACATTATTAACCACTTTTGGGTCCATACTGGTGAAAAAGTAAGAATCGCAACTAGACTTGTTAATAATTCGTGTATTTGAATATTATATACTGTAGTATCTATCTGATGAGACCAATTAAATGTTGTAAAATAAGGGCCATACATTGCACTACCATCCAAATTAGAGGCATCTGTAAATAAGTTTTGAATATTTGGTTGTGTCCATTCTCTTTCCTCTATTAGATAGACTCTGGGCCATGTTGGGAGAGTATTTAACTACCATGCTATATTAGCCTTCATTGGATCTGAAATTTTTATATGATTTTTTAATCTATTGCTACCTTCAATAGTATGAATAGGACCGGGAAAACTATATATAAGGTCCCCGCCCAAAAAATCCAAATTACATATATATGCGATGCACAATATGATTGGCTATTTGGCTATTTATTCACGTGAACCTATTCCAAATATAGTAATAAACCCAAAAAGGAATGATCATCATAAGCAAATTACTATTGTCGCGAATCAACATGTGATTTTTATTACGGTGACATTTATGTAATTTAAAGTACTCTTCGAATCATAGTGTGGCGTGGACCTTATATATAGTTTTCCCAGTCCTGCATGAATAAACCATTGTACGAATAGTCTTCCTTGTGGTATTACTTGGCAAATCCACATCAATGATCCAATAAAAGACTGCAACTCCTTTTTATAGCACCATTTCTTCTTACTCCATTCTATTAGCATGTTGAGGATTTTTAATTTTTTCGATTCTGGGATTGATGCTAATAATTCCACTGTGTTAATTTGAATGCCCAGAAATGTAAGAGTTGTACTTGGACCTTCTAACTTAGATTGTTTGTAAGGAATATTCATTATATTTAATATGCAAAAGAATTGGTGTAACTCTTGCTCTGCATTAGACTGTAATAATATTAAAAAATCGTCTACATAATGTATTATCGATTTGATTTCTTGCTGCATAGCAATCTACGTGATTACATCTGCAAAACGGCAAAATATGCCACCCGATACTCTGTTCCCAAATGCCAGAGCCTTATCAAAATATATGTTACCATCATATTGTATGCCTTGTAATACTTGATCTACAAGGTGTACTAGTAATATACGATATGCATCTTGGATGTTTATTTTTGATAAAAGACACCCATTACCATAATACATTATCCAACCAACTGCATGACTCACATTCTCATACTTTGTCGCAAATTCTAGTATATCAATTCTGTCATTTATACTCTTACCAAAAGGAGCAAATAAGTGCTAAATTACTCAGTATGCTTTAGGATTAGTATCTTTCTTTTCTACTAACCTGTATGGATTAATTCGAAATGATGTACAAGGTGGGTTTGATAATGAAAATGGGTCACATATCTGTCCTACAATAATCTCTTTATTTATATAATTTGTAAATGCTGATGGCTCTATATTTATTGATTTTAAATTTTCTTGCACAAGTACTGTCCATTGACCAGAGAAGTTAAACCTAAAGCCTTGATTTAACCCTCCTTAAGATACTGAATGAATGCACAGTTGGGGTGATTTTGTGTAAGATGTTTAAATGCTAGCTTATTTATTGAAGTTGTTATATTAAAAAATTTAGGATCTAACTGTGCCAAAATTTCTTTTTCTTTTGATGACAATGGATTATATTTTGGGGGAGTAGTTTCAACTGATTGATTAACCAATTGTAATTGTGGCTTTATATATGATAATAATGCTCTTGATGGCTTGAACTGTGTTGTATATTTGGTTGCTCACTTTGGATTTTGTATCATTATAGCTATTGTAGTATGAAGGTTAGTATTAGTAGTTCACTCTATTACATTACCCTTAATTCGATTTACTTTCTTTCTCACTCTCTCTCTTCTTTTTTTTTTTTTTTGATATTTATTATATATACGCTTATACATATTGCTATCATTTCATTTCCTCTAGCAAGTTATATTGATAGATTACTTCCTTCTCTTCTCTCTTTTTTTTTTTTTTTATTCATTTTTCTGTGTTTCCTCTTTTGTTGCTCCGGCCAGTTTGAACCTTGAGATTCTTTGATAACAGCTTTTTTTATTATGACTGAGTTTCCTGCATACTAAGCATGCATGTACTCTGCCACAATTCTTGTCCTCTGGGCATGTCCTTTTGTTCCAATTAATACATATTTCCCTGCCATTATATTGTGATATATCAGCCTAGCTAGAACGTTGTTGATCATTTCTCAGTTTCTTGGTGGTTGATGCATCGAAGTTTTTACCCTCTGCTTCAATATCTCGATCCATTAATATCATATTTTGATTCATTACAAGGCCAATTCTACAGTTTTCATCATACCTCAAGACAGTCTGAAACTCATATTTAACGCATAGTTCATTTATATGATCTCTGTATGAATTTAATTTTAATTTACAATTCTCATATAATATAAGGACTGCATCCATATATACTTTGAAGGCTAACATTTATTCTGATATATTCTTAAATAAGTCATTTCGAGTTTTCTTTCTTACTGCTATAGTCCCATACTCTGTTGTTTGTAGTACTTTATTTTCATCCATATGCTTCATATTATCAACTATATTTTTATATGCAAACTCCTGTAAGTTTATAAATGAGCCAAAGGCTAATGCTTTCTATATTTTGTTCAGTATACTTGGCTTTTGAAGAAGCATTTCGATTGCTTTTTGACCCTTGGTCCAGTTTGCAATCCACCATAAGTGAATGCTTTTTGTCTCTATAGCCTTCGGGTTGCTTATTCTTTGAACTATCGGGAGTTGTTTTATTGATGTGTAATCTATTGCTGGAAATTTCCTAGTTGTCACCCTATACTTTATCATTTCTTTACCATTCCACCTCTCAGTACTCTGCACTTCTGGGTTGCTTATTAACCTGTTATTAATTATTGGAGTAAGCAGATAATTACCTTGGGTTGGGTTTAACTCTTCTTCTATGCTTGCTGTCTGTTGTCCTAATTGTTGTCCTGATTGTTGTCCTGATTCTTGATTATGACTTGCCAGTTGTTGTATGGCTGTTAATCATCTGTTATTATTCTCACCATTGCTCTCGCCGCCTGGTAGGTTCATTTGTTCTAACTGTGTGAATCTTTTGTTTATTGTTTCCATGCATAGTGTATTCCACTCTCTTTGAACCTCGAGCTGTTGGTCCATATACTGTCGCATCAATTGCATTATTGATGCTGCTGTTGCCTGGATCATAGCATCTATATATTCTTTCATTTGTGGGTTTATTCCTGTTCTTTCACTTTGGATTTCTTGACGTTGACTGCCAGATGGTTCTACTGATTCTACTGTCTTCTCCGATGTGAAACTTCCATCAAGCCTGTTGTGACTCATATTGTGTTTCACTCTCTTGCTCATCATGAATTGTTGCCTACAGGTGAGGAGGTGATTGTCGGTGCTGTGTCTTTGTCTTTGTCCTTCCGTGATCTTTATTGGATTGATAATTACTATATTCAGAAGGTTATTAAATCATACTCACCCGAACCAGATTATGCGAATACTACCCCCGAACTTGATTGTGCCAGTTCGGTCTTGTTTATTCGTAGGTATCACAGTATTACCTTCCCCTGCTTAGCATCTTTTTGATCTATCGACTTGCGTTGATTTGAATGAAAGTGATAGTACTAAGTTGTATGCATATACTTTAAAAATTATAAAGCATTCTGGAGGAAATTTTTACATTAAATATTAACCTTTTCCACATTTAAATTAAAATTTTATTTTTTACTCTTTCAGCAAATAAGAACATAACTAATATACTGCAATATAAAAACTTTTGCAGTATTTAGAAATTTACAAACTCTATCAAGGTTATGTATTCGTCAAGAAATGATAATTTTAGAATAAAACTTATTATTTTTTTTTGCTTAGCTTTAAAAATAGTTTATCAATAAAAATGTTAGCTTCATTTAAGTTTTAGTTGAAAAAAAGTAGATTTTTAATATCTATTCTGTTTTCTAAATTTAGAATTTGGATTCACTTTTGAGATCTTTACTAATTTGCTAAATGCTGAGATGTTTTTAAGCTTTTAATTGAAATTGTTTAAATTTAAATACTGTTTATACATTTTATAAATAGAAAAAATAGTACCTTCTCTAAAACTTAGAATTTAAGATTTGTTAATATTATAGCTGGCTACTAGTACCAGCTAATAGCCAGCTATGATATTAACAAATATTAAAATTTCAAGTTTCAGAGAAGATATATTTTTATATATAAAATATAAAATAAATAGAATTTAATTCTAAATAACTCAGGGGTGTAAAAACCTAGTATAGTTGGTAAGTTATTATCACCTAAGCAGTAGAACAAAAAGTTGAATCACACTAGCAACAAAATTTAAATTTACAGAATATATTACAGTAGACAATATAATATACTGATTAGTCAGTATCTATAACTTTGACTATATCAGGTTGTACTAGAAGGTTATAAAACAATAGTAAAATATATTAGATATATAAAATCTGAGCAAAGCAGCTAAATAAATCTAAAAGATTAGAGAATACAGAAATTTGCTTGGCAAAAAGTAGTATAGTTTTTTTAACTATACTATATAAAAAATTATCATTTAGAGAACCAAACATTAGCAGTAAACTGAATATAGTATGAATTGAATATTTAATAAGACACTTACTAATCAGGCTGTTAGAAAAAACTGAAGAAAAAAGAATTTATTCAAAATATCAGAAATGCTTACTGGTTTCTTTTAAACTATCTAAATTAGAAGTTTGAAGCATTGTTAATAGTCTATAAAGTGGATACTGAAGTTTGAATAAACTTTACAAAGGCAGAAATAGATAATAGTAATAAAGATAAAGATCAAAAGTACTTGTTTTCAGATTTGTATAAGTTACTAAAGCCTAGGTTAGCCATATTATAAGAATAGAAGGCTTTATTAAGTTATCTTAAATATAAAGAAGTCTTTATAAAGTTTTAAAATTCTAAGTCAAATATTTAAAAATAAGGGAATAAAGTATTTATATTCAGTTTAAAGATAATATTTATAGCTATAGATGATTTAAATAGATAACTCTCTAGTTGGGTCATAAATATAGTATTTAGTATAGAACTTAGTAAGAAGTAAACTATATAAAAAGACAACTAAAAATTATATATATACTAGTTATATTTTCTAAATATATATAGTTATATACTGTAAAGTTAAAATATAATAGAATAAAAAAGCTGATTAAGAAATCATCTTAATATCAAAAAAATTGAATAACTTTAATTAAAAGCTCAATATTAAGATTACAGATTTTATTTCAATTTAATTATTAAAAGAATACAGTTGGCCCTCTCAGAACTGATCCTGTCAAAACCGATAACCTGCCAAAATCGGTTAAAAATCAATCTACTAGACACTTGTTCCATAAGTAATAACTGATAACCTGCCATTTCTGATACTAAACCTGTCCACTATGCATACCAGTTCTGAAAGGGCCAACTGTAACTATTATACAAGCAGAATATTTAAATTTTTATTAAATATAAATTTTAAACCCAACCTGCTAATATACTGCTTGAAGATGCAACAACTTAACTACTTCACTAAGTTATTATACCTTTAACAGATCTGCCTACCTATAATGTATAAGATCTATTAGTTTTTTTAATATTAATAGTAAAGCTATGTTTCTAACTTTATTAAATATTTAATTGAGATCTATATATAAATACTAATCTACTTTTAAAATATTATAAAAAGAATAGAAGCTTAGACTAGTTTATTTGTAATCTAAACCAAAAATAAATTTATTATACTTTTTTAGATAAGGTCTTGCTCATATCTTTATTTTTGTAATCAAGATTAGCCTTTTGGCTTATCACTTTTATTAGATTATAAGATTATATAATGCTTTTATCATAGAGTACCAAACAAGTATATTCTGATAAGAGTATATTTGGCTATATGTATAACTTTAGTCATTGCCTATTTAAAGACTCCACTATATCTATTACTAGCTATAGTTATCTACTATATACTATATCTGAGATTTGCTTGTAAATCTTTTATTTAAACTCTCTGATTCTTGCTCATATCTTTATTAGTAATTATATAATACAATCAACTCTTTCTAAATACAATTTATGTAAACACTATATATTTAGAAAGATGAAAATCTATAAGTATATATATAATAAAGATATAGCAAGGCTATTTATTTATTAAAGTTTTTTATAAAACATGTATTTAAAAAGGTTGCTTTATAGAGATTTAACTATAACTTTATAAAAATACTCCTATTTATACAAATACTAGGGTTCTTCAAAATCAAATCAAATCAAATATTAGACTTATTTAAATTTGATTTAATTTGAAAATCTGAATTTGAATTTGATTTAATTATTTGATTTTAAATTTTCAAATCAAATTAAAATTTTAGCTATTTATATAAATTATCAATTTTCTTAAAATTTTATTAAGCTATTGATTTGTATATTAAAAAAAATTCTTCTAATTAAAATAGTCCTAGTTGTATAAAACAAAATTAGTGATTGTCTTAATAAAATTTTGAGAAATAGCCTCTAGAACTATAATACTTTAAATTTTAGCCATTTATAAATATCTTCAATTTTCACAAAATTTTATTAGCCTAATCAATTTTGCTTAATAAATAAAAAATATTTTTCTAATCAAAATAGCTCTAGTTTCATAAAATTAAATTAGTAATTATCTTAATAAAATTTTGAAAAAATAGCCTCTATAATTAAACTCTTTAAATTTTAGCTATTTATAAATATCTTCAATTTTCACAAAATTTTATTAAGCTATTGATTTGTATATTAAAAAATATTCTTCTAATTAAAATAGCTCTAGTTATATAAAATAAAATTAGTGATTGTCTTAATAAAATTTTGAAAAATAGCCTCTAGAACTATAACACTTTAAATTTTAGCTATTTATAAATATCTTCAATTTTCACAAAATTTTATTAGCCTAATCGATTTTGCTTATTAAATAAAATGTTTTTCTAATCAAAATAGCTCTAGTTTTATAAAATTAAATTAGTAATTATTTTAATAAAATTTTGAAAAAATAGCCTCTATAATTAAACTCTTTAAATTTTAACTATTTATAAATATCTTCAATTGTTACAAAATTTTATTAAGCTAATCAATTCTGTATATTAATAAAAAATGATCTTCTAATCAAATAGCCCTAGTTTCTTAAAATCAAATTAGTGATTGTTTTAATAAAATTTTGAGAAAATATCTCTAAAACTATAACTCTTTAAATTTTAGCTGTTTATAAATATTTTTGATTTTACAAAATTTTATTAAGCTAATCGATTTTGTGTATTAAAAAAATGTTTTTCTAATCAAAATATTACTAGTTTTATAAAACCAAATTAGTAATTATTTTAATTAAATTTTGGAAAATAGCTTATAAACTATAACTATTCAAATTTTAGCTATTTATAAATATTTTCAAATTAAATCAAATATTTGATCTTTTTATTTGAATTTGTTTTGATTTAAAAATCTAAATTTGAATTTGATTTGAAATTAAATATTTGAATCAAATCAAATAAATGCAGAACCATAACAAATACAAATAAAATAAGAAAATTTATACAAAAATAAAAAAAATTTATACAAAAATAAAAGCTTAAACATATTTATCTGTAATATAAATTTACTAGCATAGTTAATGACTTATATAAATTACTAAAGATAAATATTATTTAAAAAAAAGCTATATTTTATCTAGTAAACTGACTAGTTACCAATCTTTTTTTAGCTTGACTAATAGGTAGACAGTATTAGTATAAGAATATAGAGTAATACAAAGCACTTCATATAGCTAATCTATATAGACAAATATATATATAATTTTATTATAGTTTTAGTTGATTTTGAAGCTAAACTATATTGTCATTTATAAGTATTTGTAATTTTATTGTTTTTTAATTAATAAAGTTAATACAATTAGTTTTAAATAGTAATTTAATAATTGTCACAGATTAAAATAAAATCTGATCAAAATGAAACTGGAAATCTTTTATGCTTATCCTTGGAGCCTATAAAATCTATATATACTTATTTATTAATAAACCTAACCCTAAACTATACTCCTAATACTAAAATGTACCCAAAAAATATTCTCCAAAAAATTTTAAATTTTCTTTAAAAAACAGAAAAATTTCATTTTAATCAGATTTTATATTAATCTGTAACAATAATTATCCCTTAGATTATAAGCAAATTTGCCTGCATTTTTGTACTTTTTGGCTTTGATTTATTTTTTTAAAAATAATTAACTAAAGAATTTTAGCATTTATCATCAGTGGCGATACCACTACCTCCTATTTCTTTTATCAAATTTA